GTGTATGTCAGATTCAAACTATCCAATACCAGTCCATTTCAACTCATTAATACCTAGGATATTTGTGTTTATGCACTTCATTTCATTTTTGACGATTTCCAATTTTCCTAGATTCATTGCTTATGTGTTTTATGAGCAAATAATTTCTCAGATGATTATTGTATAAGCCAAAACCTAAAGTGATACCACAACTGCATAAAAGTATCTCTTTGCCTTCAAATAGATCTGTGACTCTCAAAAACATATCAGCTTGCAACCACATGTTGTCAGATGACAAGTCATACTACTTTGAACATCAGACAATAAATAGATCAACTAATGAAACGGAGGACAACTGAGAACTAGTTGATTGACTTGTGATATGTTTCATTTTGTAGTTTTTAAGGCTCTGTGACAGAGGGACGGATTCTTTAAACTCTCCCCAAAATTCCAAGGTAATATATAATAAGAGGCAGGTGAGGAAAAATTATGGAGTCAAGGGATGTCACTGAGGGGTGTGTAAGAAAAAGAAAGAAATGTTCTTGCCTTTGAGGAACACTATAGAAGTTTTTCCACTCTGCAAACAAAACTAGTTTTGAGATTTTCCTCTATTCACACCTTTGTAAGAATGAAGTGGATACTCCCCCTTGATTCAGGTCTTAAAGGCATTTGGGAATGAAATCACCAGGTAAGTTAGGTTGGATTCTCAACTTACCACACCCCAGCACTCCCATTGTCTCCAGCCAGTCTCTAGAGTGATAGTTGCATGTATGTAGTTTGAAAAATTCCCTGACATGAATTTGATAGATCATGATGATCCTCCCCCATCGTCTAATTGAGATTACAAACTTATGTAAAGGTTTTGTGTACTTTATTAAATTATCAATTCTTTACTTTACAATAGTGTAAAAAGTATGACGTGTCTTCTACATAGGTCATAGCTGAACCAGGCAAAATAAAACTAAGAAGGTTAGCCTAATTTGCCCTTCTGTAGCGTAGTTGTTATGAGTTGGGCTGCCAAACTCAAGGTCAGCAGTTCGAAACTACCAGTGGTTCTGCAGAGAAAGATGAGGCTTTCTGCTCCCATAAAGATTTACAGCCTCAGAAATCCTGTGCAGGGTCACTACGAGTTAGAACCAACTCCACGGCGGTACTGAACAACAACAACATAGTAGACTCAGTAGCTAAGCTTCAGAAACACACAGGTTCCATCTCCTCCTTGTGAATTAAGTAGTGCACTAAACACAAAATCCAAATCAATTGCCAGAGAATTGATTCCAGCTTATAGTGAGTGGCCATGTAGAACAGAGTAGAACTGCCCCAGAGGGTTTCCAAATATGGAAGTAGACTATTACGTATTTCTATACTTGATGGATTCAAGCCACTGACCTCAGTCACTTAACCACTGCACCTCCAGGGCTCCTTTAAAGTGCTGCAGTTACTGTTGTTGTCACTCTGTCATCCAATCAATTCTGACTCATAGTGACGCTGTGTTGGGTTTCTGAGACGTTGGGTTCGAACTGCTGACCATGTGGTTAGCAGTCCAGTTCTGATCCTACAGTGCCACACCAGTAGGCTCTCCAAATTACCCTATCTTGTAGCCAATTTGTCGTTGTTGTTGTTAGGTGCCATCGAGTTGGTACCGACCCATAGCGACCTTATGCACAGCAGAATGAAACACTGCCCGATCCTGGGCCAACCTTACTATTGTTGCCACGCTTGAGTCCATCGATGCTGTAACTTGGCCAATCCATCTCATTGGGGGTCTTCCTCTTTTTCTCTGACCCTCCACCTTACCAAACATGATATCCTTCTTCAGCGACAATATGTCCAAAGTATGAGACATGGAACTTAGCCATCCTGGCCTCCAAGGAGCACTCTGGCTGCACTTCTTCCAAAACGGATCTGTTGGTTCTTTTGGCAGCCCATGGCACTTTCAATATTCTTCTCCAACACCATAACTCAAAAGCATCAATTCTTCTACAGTCTTACTTATTCACTGTCCATCTGTCACATGCATATGAGATTATTGAAAATACCATGGCTTGGGTCAGACGCACTTTAGTCCTCAAGCTGACATCTTTGCTCTTCAACACTTTAAAAAGTTCCTGTGTAGCAGATTTGCCTAATGCAATAAGTCATTTCTTGACTGCTGCTTCCGTGAGTGTTGATAGTTGATCCAAGAAGAATGAAGTCCTTGACAACTTCAATCTTTCCTTTGTTGATAAGAATGTTGTTTATTGGTCCAAAATGGTTAAATGTTCAACTAGTAACCCCCCTAGAAGCACTTCAGAAGAAAGGCCTGGTGATCCACTTTCAAAAGGTCATGAAAACCTGATGGAATTCAGTTTTATTCTATACACCATAAGTAAGGATCAACTGGAAGGCAAATGATTTGGTTGATTTTTGGTAGTCAGTGTAGTAAATCCTTAGGGACCAATTCAGAGAGATATGATATTTTCTCTTTACTCTAATGAAAACAATCTTTTAGCAAATCAAAATCTGTTCTATGAACTGGAAAATAGTCACTATCTCTGGGAGATCGTATCGGGCTCTCAGTCTTTCTATGTTACTTCCTCTTCCCTTTTGCTGTTGCATTAAGATTTTCTGAGGTCCTATGAAAGCC